ACGCCGTCGCCGGCGACTCATGGCAGCCCAGCTCCAGGTTGAGCTGTTGTTCAGCATCTTAGCTGTGGAGGGCAGTGTCACTGGCCCTCATAGGTGGGATCCGAACCGGGGCCCTCTGGCATCCCAAGCGAGTTCTCAACCATCGCGCCACTCGGCCGGCCCTAAGCATGCTTATTTTTTATTCAGAATGAAATTTTCATTTGTCACAAATTAAAAACAGTATATGTTTATTACATAAATTCAGTATAAAAAATTAACAGACATTCAAAAAAATCTGTGAGATCAGTTGCGCCCGACGAAGGGTTAAAGATAGTCAGTGTCAAATCTTGCTGAAGAATGATCTTGCAGAAATCTGATTGTGAAGGAGGAAATAAAAAGACAAAACAAGCTTCAGTAGATATAAGACTGGGAAAACAGTGGTTGCTCAAACAAGACAGAAAGAGAAGGTTGTATTCCTTTTCTTTCATTTTGTGTTTTGCATTTTTTTATTTAAATAATTAGATAAATGTGGTATATCCCTTTCATTTGTATATAATTCAGAACCTTAACATAGTAAAGTTTATATTTTTATGTGAATCTTATTAAATGGATCTTTTCCATAACATGCAATTATCTGTAAAAAAAAAATTTGCCGTCTATTTTATGGCAACATTGGGTTTATTTATAAAATACTGTCTTAAGTCAAACACCGTTTTCTCACAGTATACCTTCATTTGGAATTAATGTTCATATTCTACAAGAGCTATCTAGCACTCAGAGTGTAATCTGGCACCACTAAAAGTGCATATGTATTTGTTTTCTTCATGGAGGTGCCGTTTATAAAGCAGATACTCTGTACAAATTTTGTAGAAGATTTAAAGAACTTTCAGATTCAAAATTTTTATGTAGTTCAGTATCACTATGAAAATAGAGCATACTGAAAAGACTACGAAGGAAAGATGCCATAGGTAAATTTAGAACTTAAATAATATGCCATACAATATTAGTCAATTATTTCAAAGCCGACTCTTTTGCCACACACCTGAAAGCTGACTTTATACAGGGCTTAAACAATCTATTGGTTTATTTATGATCAGAACAGGCATGCTCTCCCCTCATTCAGCAAGTTGGTGGGTTTTCATCATGTGAATATTGTGTGTTGTCTTCTCTAATTTTTTACTTCCTGCTTGTTTTTTTCTTCTTTTTCTTTCACAACAGTCGGTCAATAAGGACAAGTCTAAGGATTTCAAACGGGGCTCAGAATCTATGACACAGTAAGCAACTTTTCTTCCTAAAGAATTTGCAGTGGTAGATATTTGGGATTTTTTTTTATTAAGGACAATTTCTCCGTTTCACTTTTCGTAACATCACACTACAAGTTAAATTTCAGATCATTGGTTTTTAAAAGAGTTTAGCTCGTTTGAGGACAATATTTTCATGGTTGGACTTTAGGATGTGTTTGACAAAGTTAGAAGAAATAATATTTAACAAAATAATAACACACTAAATTTTTGTTTTATTGACCCATTTTGTCATTTATTTCTGCTTGAATAACATTTTGAAATGACATTAACTGGAAACAAGTAGATTATATGGCAAAAAAAAAAAAAGAATCATGAAGTGTTTATTTTCAGGCATTAAAAGAAAAAAAGCTAATACCCAGAACATTATCATTGTATATTTTTTACAAATGCCTAATGTATTTGAGCAGTTTATTTTGAGTTAGTTATTTTAAAAATCTTTAGGAACTTTTTGTATTTTTGTCAGGTACTTGCTGTGTAGTTTAATACATATATAGAAAAATCCCACTTTTACCTCAAAAAAAAAATTACATCAAAAACATTCCCAAAATATTTCTCAATTTTTATCATTGCAGATCATTTTGTACCTAGTTTTAAGCCCGAACTTTATATTCACACATGAGAGTGGCAGCCTTAAACAGCCCAGGCAACTGCCATGTGCCTTCCCATTTTCACCACCATCATCCCCACATGCACAAGAGCGCACGCTTACAACATGTGCCCACAGATAACCCCTGCTGAATTTCCATCAGGAAAAGATTTGTTCAAGTTAACCCTGCTGTGCGCTTTGACATTCTGAAGAATAAATACTGTGATCAGATTCTGAATCAGATGACAGTCTAATTTACAAGAATTATCAAATGAAACTGCATCATTTCACAAGATATTTCATTGTACAGATAAAAGATAAACATACTTTTTAAATGGTATTTAAAAGAGTCACAGAATGATGACCTAAAAGATACTTTAGAAATTTTCCTCTTATCTCCTCTGTTTTATAGTCAAGAAAACTAAGAAGTAAGTCCTTGTGCCAACTGCACAGGGCACATTTATGCCAGCTCTTGGACCAAGACCTGACTCTTCTGATTCCCAGATTTGTGTGTGTGTGTGTGTGTGTGTGTGTGTGTGTGTGTGTGTGTGTTTTAAACTACATTCAGTGTTGTCAGGCTCCTTGGTAAGATACCATTTTGCTGTAAATGAAATTTTTTTCTGAGAGAGAAACTCTTTTAATTATTATCTAACTATATAAATAGCCCTGTCGTGCTTCAGAGACAGTCACTCACGTTACGACATTGGATGATAGCGAGAACCGTTGCCCTGCGGCAGATGCACCAGTGTTCTGCCCTCTTTTACACATGGAGAAACAAGATCTGCGAGGTTGCGACCTGTCTCAAGTCGCTGCAAGTAGTAAGCAGCAGGCCCAGTACCAGAACGCACGCAGGTCCTCTGTTTCCTAATCTCCTGCCTTTCCATGGTTTCCCTCTTGTCTGTCAGAAGGTGCAAACCCATGTCCCAGGTCTTTACATTTTTTGTTTTTGTTATACCTGCCAGGTATGCTTTCAGTTCCAGTCTCCGAATAATTAAAATTTTGCATAATAGTTGATAATGCAGTCACTGACCCTAAGGAGTTTATACTCAACAACAGATTACACATTTAAAAAAAAAAGACGAACAATGAGAACAAACTACATTTCAACAATCAAAAAATAATAACCATATTTAATACATTATGGAAACAATGCTCTCAGTGTCTTTGAACACCTTTTATAACATTTTTTGAACTTTTTACCTAATATGGAAATGAATATGGAAATGAAAAACTGTAGGTACTCCGAGGACATGGGATACCTATTTTCAGGTGATTCAGAGATCCATGCCATGCCCTCCAGATTCACATTCAAAAAGCCTCACGAACATCCCAGCCATTCTCTCAAGGCTGCCAGGGCAGCTCAGCTATTCCTTTTGAACTTAAGAATAAACCTCTTAGGAAGCTGTGAAAATAAATTTCCATGAGAAGATTAGATATGTCTAAATGCTCAAATTTGTCAAAGCCTTTGAATTTTCCCTATAGCTGTTAATTTCTTAGCAGTAAGTGTGAATTATACTACATCTCTCATGACTGGAAAATTGTAGGCATGTGGAAGGTGAAAATACTACATATAGCCCAGTGTGTACAAAGAAGTCATCTCTTTATTTAATTTACTTAAGTGAGTCCATTGTACCCAAGTAAGTGGACAGAGGCTAAGCTTTTTGTTTCTTTTCAGCCTTGCCATTCAGTTTGCAACATTTGCTGATAAGTTGATTGACCAAAATATAGAAATGAGCCACTTAGGACTGCCTCTTACCACTTTCCACTTGAATCTCTTGTCTTGTTTGATGTTTTGTTTTGTTTTGTTTTGTTTTGTTTTGTTTTGTTTTGTTTTGTTTTGGAATGTCAGTCACTTCTGTGCACACAATTTATACACGTTTTAGTAAAGCTACTCTCTTATTAAGACATCAAGAAGAAACTTCTATATGTTAATTGAACAAAGACATGTTCTTGAATGTCTTAAACTTTCACCTTTTGTACCTCATGCCTCTGTGATGTTATTGTCTGCTTCCCCAGATAGAGTTTGTAATGAAGCTTCTATAAATATGTGATAATCCTGATAAGTAGCATTAGTGTTCCCTAGTTACTGATGTTTTATCATGAGTTTGTTGGATTTTTTTAAACATAGAATTCTTTATTTTATTAACAGCATTGGTCAGAGAACTTAATTTACATGGTTAGTTATCCTAGAGTCCTTTATTTATAAACACTCAAATGTAAATGAATGAATGAATGAATGAAATCTCTTACTAATACAGGGTAGCTATGAAAGTTAATTCCAAGTATCCTATTACCCCTCCACTATATACTTTTTCATCCTTATAGCAGTCCTATTCCAGACTCCTTCAATTGCTTCTTGTCTTTGTGAGAAGGGGATAGTTTACCTTTTTTCCCTAAAATATCCTGTTACTTGCAACTTTTTTTAAGTTCTTACTTTGATTACCCATTTTTCAACCTTTTTCTCACCCTCTACACTCCACCCCCATTTCTGAATTGAAAACCATCCATTGTCAGGTGTGTGATATCACAGTGTCCTTATATATTCTTAAATACGTTCCCTATCAGATACATGATTTGCAAATATTTTCTCCCAATCTGTTTTGCCTTGTTATTCTTTTTTTGAATAGTGACTTTCAAAGAGCAAACTTTTTCTAATTCTGATGAAGTCCACTTTATCATTTTTTTTCTTTTATGAATCATGCCTTAGTGTAGTATCTAAGAAACCTTTCCCCAAAGTCGCAATGGTTTTCTCCTATATTTTCCTGTAAAGTTTTATAGGTTCAGGTTTTATATTTAAGTCTATGGTCTGTTTTGTATATGGTATGAGGTTTGGATCAGAAGGGTTTGTTTTGTTTTGTTTTGTCTGCAATTGGACATCCAGTTGTTAGAGCACCATTTGTTGAAAAACAATCCTGCCTCAACTGAATGGCGTTTTGAATCTTTGTTGGAAATCATTTGTCAGTATATGTGTGGGTCTCTTTCTGGACTCTATTCTGATCTATTGATCTACTTCTCTGTCTTTGTATCAGTAACATACTGTCCTGATTACTGTAGTTTTATAATGTCTTGAAATCAGGTATTATTGATCCTCCAACTTTGTCCTTTTTTTAAAGATGTTTAGCTACTCAAGGTCCTTTGTATGTCTTCATGAATTTTAGGGTGAGCTTGTCAATTCCACAACAAAGCCTGCTGGAATTCCAATTGGCATTACCTTAAATCCACAGATGAGTTTGGAGAGAATTGACATGTTAAGAGTATTGAGTCATCTGACTTATTAACACGATATATTTCTCCATTTATTTAGGTCTTTAATTTCAGCACTGATTTTAGTTTTCAGTGTATAACTTTTGCACATATTTGGCTGATTTATTTCTGCATATTTCGTACGTTAATGGTATTATTTTTCAATTTCAATTTACAATTGGTTGTTGCTAATTTATAGATTGTTATAATGTATGTTGACCTTGTATCATGCCACCTTTCTAAACTTTGTTAGTTTTAATAGCTTTTTAGTAGATTTCACCAAATTTTCTACATATATATATAATCATGCAGATAAAGAGCAGTTTAATTTCTTCCTTCCCAATCTGGATTCCTTTTATTTCTTCTTTCTTTGCCTTTATGGCATTGGCTAGAACCCCCAGTACAATGTTGAATAGAAACAATTAGAGTAGACATTATCTTCTTCCTGATCCTGTGGGAAATGAGTGGGAAAGCAGTCAATCTTTTCTTCACTATTAATTATGATATTATCATAGGTTTTTTTTTAAATAAATGGCCTTTTTAAGATAGTTTCCTTCATTTTCTAGGTTGCTGAGAGTTTGTATCAGGAGTGGATGTTGGGTTTTTGTCAAATGCTTTTTCTGCATCTGTCAAGATAAGATAATTCTATGATCTTTTGTTTTGAATTTGTTAACATAGTAAATTACACTAACTTTCCAAATGTTAAACCAACCTTTCAATCTTCGGATAAACCCCACTTACACTTATAAATTGGTGGGCTTGATTTGATAAATTTTTATTGGGAATGTTTTGCATTTTGTTCATGAGGAACATGGGTCTATAGTTTTCTTGTGATGTCTTAGTCTGGTTTTGGAGTCTGGGTAAACTCGCCTCAGGTAATGAGTTGGGAAGAATTCCCATCTCTTCAGTTTTCTGGAATAGTTTGTATAGATTTGGTGTTACTTCTTCTTTTTATGATTTCTCTTTCTTTATTGATATTCTCTATTTGATGAGACATTGTTCTCATATATTACTCCAGTTCTTTAGACATGGTTTCCTTTAGCTCTTTAAACATGTTTGCAATAGTGGATTTCAAGTCTTTGTCTGGAAAGTTCAATGTTTGGGCTTCCTAAAGACAGTTTCTTTTTTCCTGCTCTGTATT